CTTACTTGCCCTAGATATAGTTTTTATTTGATTATATATTAGGGGTTAGATAAGGATTATTTACAAATTTTTAATTTCTGTTGGACCGTACGACGAGCGGTCAACAAATTTTTGCACCACGCTGGGGAATTTTTTTTGTAAAGAAAAAAATCAATTTCGTATGCATATGCATTCTTGTAAGCATGTTGTAAATACTTTATCTTTACTTGTTTTTTTCACTTACTTGTATGTTTGAGTACATATGTGAATTATTAGAGTTGGGACTAACTATATTTAACTTGTACGCATCATTGTATGTTCTATATTCAGCCTGAATATACTAACTATGCATGTATTAGTTCCTAATTTTGTAAAAATATGAACTCTACTTGCGGAATTTTCTCAAAATATGCACTTGTAGCCCGATTGCCATGTTGTTTTTGCCTCTTAGAGTGCTCCTTTGCTAAAAATATGCACTTCCATTGATATATATTTCTCAAGAACAATTTTTAGATGCAATACATGATGTCTGGGGTTAAATTTGTGAGTTTTAAGTGTAGTTTTTCTTGAAAAATCTGATCTAAAGTTGCTATTCTTTTAAAAAAAATCGGCAATTTTTTTCCTTGTTATGCTGATTTTTATGTTCCTAAGATGCCTTATTACTAAAATTTGTACTCCATTGGCTTAAATACAAGCATAAGAACTAATTTAGATGTAAACAACTTGTTTTTTGACTTGTGTTATGATCCATGTATGCTGCTATATGTTCTGAAAATTAAAAAATGGTTAAAAATCTGATTCTAGACTTTGATTTTTGAGTTTAATATTTCAAAAAGAACTTGAATTTTTTCTGATTTGCACAATTAAAGTGCTTGCTTGGTGTAAAAATGAATAAAAAGTTCAAACATGAATAGTATCTTGTTTCCATTCTTTAAAGTGTTTTAAAGAAACAATGATACAACAATTGTTTGCCACATTCGGAGCTTGTGTTTATGCAATTAAGAAGTGGTAGAGTAATTGGTGAAGAAAGCAAAAATGAAACAAGTTGTAGCGACCAGGTATGTGAGGTTGAACCTTCTTTTAATTTAGATAATTTTGTGGAACTATTTGGGTCTGCTCTTACCATATTTGAAATTACACCTGTGAGTGTATGCGTGTAAAATATAAGTGAACCTGATTTTAAAGAATCAATATTTTATATTCAAGCTAGTTCTAGGATGGCAGCCCCTAATCAAAATCTTAGAGAATTAGCTGCACCTGACTTGACCATCCAACCTATTTCCATTACCTACGGTGAGTTGGAAAAACCCCTTAAGGTGAATTCTGGATTTATCAATCTTCTTCCCAAGTTTCATGGTCTTCCTGGAGATGATCGTTTTAGGCACATATCTAAATTTATCATCACTTGTGGTGAAATGGTGGCTGAAGGAGTCTCTCGAGACCAAATTACACTTAGAGCCTTTCCCTTTTCCCTTTTTGATAAGGCCAAAGATTGTCTTTACTATATGCAAGCTGGATCTTTCACCACGTGGAATGATCTTCATAAAGCTTTTCTTGAAAAAATTTTCCGGCATCTAGGATTGGGTCAATTAGGAAAGAGATTTGTGGGGTTAAGCAATTGAATGGGGAGAACTTTTTCTAAATACGAGGAGTGCTTTAATAAGCTTGTTTGTTCTTGTCCTCAACATCTAATCATTAAACAGTTGTTAATTCAATATTTTTATGAAGGACTTTTGCCTACCGAGAAGAGCATTGTTGAATATGCTACCGGTGGAGCACTAGTGAACAAAACCCTCGCGCAAGCCAGGGTGCTTTTTAATACTATTGCCTAAAATACATAACAATTTGGAACTCGAGATACTTTTGTGAGGCCGGTTAACGAGATTTGGAATTCGTCTTCTTTAGCATATGAGCTTTCTGCCTTAGCTGATGCTATCTCTAAGCTGATTGTGAGTAATGTAGAAGGTAGTAAGGGTAAACCTTATAGAGTGTGCTGCTTGGAAAGACATCCTACTGATGCTTGTCAAACACTCCAAAATCCTGAAGTTAATGCTTTCTTTTTCAATAATAACAACCGAAAGAAGTATGATCCTTTTTCTAACACTTACAATGAGGGTTGGAGAGACCATCCAAATCTACATTATGGTCCTCTGAGGGGTAGTAATCTGAATTTTTCTACCAATCCACCTCCCCAACAAGATAGGGCAACCGAAATGTTAGAACAAGTGCTTAAAAAGATGGATGATAAGTTTACTTCGGTTGACATAAGTCTTAAGCAACTTCAAGAAAGATAAAAATCTTCTGAAAGTTTAATTAGTAATATGCAAGCTCAAATGAACAATAGGCTGCCTTTTAAACCCGTTCCTAACCCTAAACAGAACCTTAATGCAATATAGTTAAGGAATAAAAAAGTACTCAAAGAACCAAAGAGGATTAGGGAGGAAGAAAAAAAGTTAGAAGTTGAGCACAGATGTCCAAAATAGTACTTGGAACCTAAAATTCAGCCTCTAAACTCAAAAGACCAGCCTTTAAAACCTGCAACCAGCATCCTAGATGAAGATAATGAGGCTGAGAAATCTGAGGAAAGAGGAAAAACATACCTTAGGGATAGAAATCCAAGCCTTCCACACCCTAAGGCATCCTTCCCTAGCAAATTCCTTCAACCTAAAAAGCCTAAGAAAATTTATCTTGCACTTCTTGATACTTTTTAAGAAAGTAGAGATTAATTTACCTCTCTTAGAAGCTATTAAGCAAGTCCTTGAATATGCTAAGTTCCGCAAGGAGCTTTGCACCAACAAGAATAGGCTAACAGGGAATGAACGGGTAAAAATTGGTGAAGATGTCTCTGCAGTTTTTCAAAACAAAATTCCTCCTAAATGTAAGAGTCTTGGTATTTTACCATTCCTTGTCTATTGGTGATTTAATCTTTGATAGGGCCATGTTGGATTTAGGGTGTTCTATCAATGTAAGGCCCAAAGGAATTTCTAATAAGCTGAGCATTGGGAATTGAAATCAACAGGGGTAGTGATCCAATTAGCCGATAAGAGTTATACTTATCCCGAGGGTCTTCTTGAAGATATCTTGGTGAAACTCAATGACTTAGGTTTTCCTGCTGATTTTTATGTGTTAAACATGGGTACGGAACATCAGACATACCCATTCTCTTTGGTAGATCTTTCATGAAAACTGCAAGAGCTAAGATTGATATTTATGATGGGGTTTTGTTGCTAGAATTTGATGGTGAAAAGATTGAATTTAGCCTGTCTTCTGTAATGAAAAGTCACATTGAAAACAATCAGCTTTGTTCTATGGATGTGAATATGTGATTGATGATTCTGCTCAAGCTGTTTTTTAACTTATCTAGTGATGATATGGTTGATTCTGTGTTGGGTAATAGCTTGGATAGGGTAGAACTTGAATGCTTAGAGTACAGCATTCCTAGTGAAGTCTTGGACCTAGTTGAATACCTTGCTAAGTTTGAAGAGCTAGAAAACCTTAGTCATCCTGTTTGTAAGGCCGAATTGCTTGAGAATAAGCCTAAGCTAGTTTCGTCCTTAGTGTGTCCATCTGAACTAGAGCTTAACGACCTGCCCAAAGACCTTTAGTATGCATTCAATTCTTAGGTTGAAACCAGACCCTACCAGTGATTATTTCTATTGTCTTGAACAAAAATTAGGAGGAGAAACTCCTAAAAGTCCTGCAAGAGAATAACCAAGCAATTCGTTGGACTTTGGCCGACTTGAAGGGGTTAAGTCCTACACTTTGTAGCCATAAAATAAGCCTAGAACCTGAAGCCATACCTAAAGTAGATCAACCTAAAAGGCTTAATCCACCTATGTTAGAGGTCATTCAAGAATAGATTCTTAAGTGCCTTGAACATGATGTTATATATCTTATTAGAAACAGCCCTTGGGTAAGTCCTATCTGCTGGATATAAGTAAGCCCTAAAGGCCAACTTATGATTCCAAATCTATGATATCAAGAATAAAAGGCCCTAAAGATTGTTTTAATCGTCTCGTGTGATTTAAACGTAGCTTTAGTCCATAGAGTAGGCACTCTAGAAACATAGATGAGAACTACGACGTTCTCATTATGAGACTTTTACAAAGATAGAAGCTACGTCTAAAATTTCCTTTGTTGAATATTAGGATAATAAGGACATCATAATATATTAAGACTAATACGCATGAGATGAGATAGCTGCGTTTCAAAGGCTATAGATAAAATGTTATTTGAATCTAAGTGTAGGCAAACATACTGGATATGTTATTGATGGATTGACCCGCTATGAGAACAATATATCGGTATTACGTTAAAGTGTTAATATTACTCTCATGTGACCATTAGTATAACTATCCTTCGACTTGAAGTCATTACGATATCTAATTTTCATATTACTTATTGGGGGTGGACACGGTACCGGTACGGTACCGTGACCGGCAACGGTACCGCCGGTACTCGCCACCGTCACCGCCGGCCGGGACGTACCACCGGTTCCTGGAACCGGTACCGTTACCGCCCACTTCGATACTGGTTCCGGTACCCATTTTTTGGTACCGGCACCGGCGGTACCGGCCCGGTTCCGGTACCCGGTTAATATATTTTTTTTGGCTTTTGCTCCCAACGGCTCCAACCTGCAATTCCTGCAAAAAAGAAGAAAAAATTAGTGGGGGGCACACCTCAAACGACTAAATAGCCGTTGAGGTGGGGGAGGGGGGAGGGGAGGAGAGGGGGGGGTGGAAATACTATAAAATCTCACATTTTTTTCCTAAAAAATCACTCAATCTCTCATTCCATCTCCCATTCTCTCAATCTATCAATCTCTCAAATCTCAATCTCTCAATCTTATTATCTCTTTTTAATTTTTATACATTTAATATTCATATAATAATATTAATAAATATTACTCCCTCCGTCCCTTCTTGTTTGTCCACTTTGGAATGGACACAAATACCAAGGCATGTGGGGACAAGGAAGAAGATTACATTTATACCCTTACTTTTGCTACTTTTGGAGATGGAGTACATGTGACGGCAGAAAAGAAAAAAAGAGAAAGAACTTTTAAAAAGAAAAAAATTACAGCCCATAACTTAATCATTACACCATCAAATCATTACTTTTCCCAAATCCTACAATTCTTTATTGTTTTGGCGGTAAAAATGTCGCCATTTTTTCTTCTTCTTCTTCTATATTTAGAAACCTCTAAACTGAATCTGCCAAGTCTTTCCTTCGAAAAAAGTGGGGTATTTGCAATCAGATTCATCAGATTCTCACTTTCTTCAGGATGGAGAACTTTCTTCAGATTCTTCATCTGCAAATCAGGTCCATCTTCCTTGCTTTTTAAGTTGACTTTTTTCTTCATTTGCACTTCTTCAATGTCTTCTTCCACCATCTTGCTCCCTTCACCTCCTGTCATAGAAACACAAACACAGCCCGAAGTGGAAATTGAAAATCAGTGAAATGCAGAAAATCAACGGGTTAATAATAAGTGCACACACAAACTGTGTGATGAAACTAGGGCTTTAATCATACAAACCCTTCTCCAAAACTTGAAGAAGGGGAAACCGGGTAGGGGTGTGATGAAACAACTTGCTGAGCAATACCAAATCAATCCAAAAACAGTTCAAAGATTGTGGGCAGAAGCTAAACAACAAATGAAAGATGGCATAAGTGTACGGGTCATTGGTCGAATGAAGGGAAAGTCTTGTGGGAAAGCAGGTCTCAGTTTACCCGTGGATAAGGTTTGAGCTGTGTCCCCCAGTAAAAGAAGAACCATTAGGGCATTGGCAAAGGCAGTTTCAATGTCAAAGACTAGCATACACCGATTGGTTAATCGAGGAAAACTCAAGGCTCACACAAATCCAATCAAGCCTCACTTGACATAAGATAATAAAGTAAGGAGATTAAATTTCTGCCTGAGTAAGCTGCAACAAAACACTTTGCAGACAACCCCACAATTTCATGACTTTTATGAGTATGTGCATGTGGATGAGAAATGGTTTGAAATGACTCAAGCTACACAGAGAATGTACTTGCATGCAGAAGAAGAAAGTAATCTACATAGGAATATTCAATCCAAAAAACATATCACAAAAGTTATGTTCTTGGCTGCATCAGCCAGGCCAAGATTTGATGAAGATGGTGAGGTCTTATTTGATGGAAAAATTGGAATTTTCCCATTCATATTCACAGAACCTGCACAAAGGAATAGCAGAAATAGACCAAGGGGCACATTGGTTACCAAACCAGTACCAATAGTGAACAAAGATGTGTACAGGAGCTTTTTGATCAACAAAGTCATTCCTGCAATTAAGGAAAAGTGGCCTACTGATTCCAACAAAAGGGTCATCATTCAACAAGACAATTCCAAGCCACACATTGCATGTAATGATCCTTTATTTCTCCAAGTAGCCCAGGCTGATGGTTTTGACATATCATTAACATTTCAACCACCAAACAGTCCAGATCTAAATGTGTTAGACCTTGGCTATTTTAGAGCAATTCAGTCACTACAACAAGACCACAAATGCAAAACTATAGATGACCTTGTTCATGTTGTGACAAAGTCTTACAATGAGTTTGAACCTATGCGCTCCAACTTTGTGTGGCTAAGTCTGCAATATTGTATGGGAGAGGTCATCAAAAAGTTAGGTTGTAATGCGTATAAGATTCCACATGTAGGGAAGTACTCCCTTCTAAGGAGTGGTAACTTACCCATTTATGTTTCCCTAGATCATGCAGGGGTCAGAATAGCACAACAACATTTAAGTCTTCATAATTTTGATTGGAGACAGTTCATTAATGAAGATGTTGAAGCCCACCTTCAATAGTGAACTGTTTCTTTTGAATGGTTTGGTGAAGTGTAGTCACCATATAAATGCACCTAGTCAAGGCATATTTTTGTATAGGGTATAATGTCTCGAATGTATTTTTTGAATGGTTTGGTGAAGTGTAGTCACCATATAAATGCACCTAGTCAAGGCATATTTTTGTATAGGGTATAATGCCTCGGATGTATTTTTTGAATGGTTTGGTGAAGTGTAGTCACCATATAAATGCACCTAGTCAAGGCATATTTTTGTATAGGGTATAATGCCTCGGATGTATTTTTTGAATGGTTTGGTGAAGTGTAGTCACCATATAAATGCACCTAGTCAAGGCATATTTTTGTGTAGGGTATAATGCCTTGGATGTATTTTTGGCGTGTAAGGAAGTGTAGAATCTGTTTTGAATCTGGTAAGGTGAAGTGTATAATCTGTTTTTAATGTCAAAAGATGAAGTGTAGAATCTGTTTTGGATTCGGAATGTCAAGTGTATAATCTGTTTTTAAATTCAAAAGATGAAATGTAGAATCTGTTTTGAATTTGTTTTGAAGATCAAGTGTAAATTCTGTTTTGAAATTGGAAAGATGAAGTTTAGAATCTGTTTTTAAATTCAAAAGATGAAGTGTATAAAGAATTTAAAACTAATAAAAGCTCAAGATGTATAATCTGTTCTGAAATTAGAAGCTTCAAATGTAAATTCTGATTTGAATTTAGAAGAGTAATGTATACTCCGTAATAAAGTGGACAAACATTGAAGGAGGGAAGGAGTATGAACATAGGTGTTGCTCTTTAACAGACACTGCCTTCACAACTAATGCTAATAAGATGGTGAAATCACTTCAACATTCATTCACAGAATGGAGCGACAAACACCACGAAAGGTGGGGGTTACACAGCATCATCATAGACCATAATCTTAACGGGATGATTCATCATAGACCATAGTCATATACACCCAAACACACACTTATACTTAAACAGCATCCCCACAACGAAAACAAACAACAGAATCACACATTTAAATGGGAAACACAGAATGCAGCGACAAAACAACAAGACAATCATAGGTTTCAGTACTACTCATACGCAAAAATGAGAGTAGAGACAAAGTACTTCCCTAGATGAAGAAACGTGGGAACCAGATATGAAGCAAAGCCTTTGTGGATGAGCTGTGCCATGCCTCAGGCACTTTTCCCAACTTCGGGTCGTATTGTAAGCTAGCAAAAGCACTAAATGGATCCTCATCAACCCTTGCTTGGAGGAATGCAGGTTTGTCCACAGCCTCCACCTCCAAATTCAGGGACTCAGATTCTTTTTGGGAGTCAAGGTTAGAGAACGTGTCATCATCCTCCCCTTCTTTAGAGTCTGGAACAATGAATGAATCATCATCATCCCCTTCTTCAGAATCTGGAACAATGAATGCCTCAACATAGTCTCCTTCTTCAGAATCTGGAACAATGAATGCCTCATCATCATCCCTTTCCTCAGAATCTGGAACAATGAATCCCTCATCATCGTCCCCTTCTTCAGAATTTGGAACTATGAATGCCTCATCATCATCCCTTTTTTCAGATTCTAGAACAATCAACTCCTCATCATAGTAACCATCTTCCGAATCTGGAATAATCTCATTCACCTCCTCATCGCAATCCTCTTCTTCGGAATCTGGAACAATCAGATCTCTGTCACCATCCTCTAGATGATCTTCGCAGGTAGGAAATTCATCCTCCCCGGCAAAGGGCGACTCATCTACTTTGAAGACAGTGGTTGCACCATCCATGCAGAGGCTTTTCTTCTCAAATTGTGTTTTGGGAATGAAGAAGGCAGATTCCTGATCGGAAGACATGTCAGGTCCACTCCTCATATCAAAATCTAGGGTTTTTGAGAAGAAAAAATATGTGAGGAAGAGTGAGAAGGTGATTAGATCAGAGCTGTAGAGAAGGAAGGGTGAGAAGGTGAAAAATCGGCGATGGAGACGAAGATGAGTGAGAAGCAATCGGCGATGGAGATGAACAGGAGTAAGAAGCAATTGGTTGAGGTGATGAAAAAGAGAGATGAGATGAGAGAAGATGAAAAGGATTGATTTTGGGTGGATGGAACGGGTGGGTGAGTGGGTGAGGAATTGATTGTAGTGGATGGAGTGAGAAAGGGTAAAGATGGAAAGTTGTAAATTAATTATTGCCAAATTAGGAAAGTGGACAAATATTAAGGGACGGCCAAAAATGGAATACTGGACAAATACAGAGGGACGGAGGGAGTAATATATTACATAATATTGTAATAACCTATAAATACATTCATTATTCATATTATCAATTATCATATATTTTTAGTTTTTTACTACTATTAAAATTTTGAAATTTTTGAAATTTTAATATATAAAATTTCGAAATTTTTTTAAATTTTCGAAATTTAATATATTATTTTTTTATATCAAAAAATATATATATTAAAATGTCGAGAGAGTCCGGTAGAAGATCCGTGGATATGGGCGCCGTGAACCGAAGTTTGAGGAAAGGCAAAGCTAAAGCCACCTCCGACTGTTCGACCTCACGCGGTTCTCGATGAAGACACTCCGTCTCTTCCTTTCCTACTATCCCCGATCAATTCATCGGGGACGGTATAACAAGGGTAAGGGCGGCCTTTTTGCTTATAGTGACGAGCAAAATAAGCAAAAAATGGTCGAAATGATTTGTGAAGAAAACTTTCCATAGATATTTTCTGAAAAACTTGGATTTGTTGATTATTGTCAACAGGCATTAAACCCTCAAGCAAGAGGTTTTTCAAGAAAAACAATTAAACCAGAAATTATTCACCAGTATAAAACTAAAAAAATTAATTTGGCAAATTTTTTTCTCAATTATAATTCTCGTGTTGTTATTTGTTCTGATATTTGGAGTGAAACATATCATAATTTGTCTTATATGGGTGTTACTTGTCATTAGATAGATAGTGATTGGATTATGCATAAACGTGTTCTTGCATTTCGTGATTTCAATGATTCTCATAAATATTTTTTTATTGGTTCAGAGTATTCTGCGGGAATACAACATAGCTGATAAAGTTTTTGCATTTGGTTTTGATAATGCTACTAATAATACTGCTGCTATTCCTAGACGTAGAGAAATTTGCCCCCTACTACGACTATGGGTAGATTTTTGCATCAACGGTGTGCCTGTCATGTTTTAAATTTATGTGTACAACAAGGACACGAAGCTATGGGGGGGTTTGACGAATATTAAAGAAGGAATTAGAAAAATTTGGGGGGCTCGTCTTATTTCGAGGTCTTGGAAGATATTCTGTAACTCTAAGGGTAGAACAGAAATAACATTTGCCAAAGATATCCACATTAGATGGAATAGTACTTACAAGTTGATAGCACAGATTCTAAGCTATAAAGAGGAACTTGCTGAATTTTTTAGTGATGAACTTCGTATAATCATTTCACCTATTGAATTTTTTATTGTAGAAAACTTTAATGCCGTATTAGAAGTTTTTAATAATGCAACTCTTACTTTTTTGCATGTTTACCAACCAACTACAAATACATTTTTTAAAGAGTGCGTTACAATCGCAACATGTTTTCATGAGAGTTTGGCTGATCCAGATTTGTACCCGGGGAGTCACTTACCTGTGGCTTTCCCTTGGATGGCCTTCTGATTGAATCAGCCTTCTTGAAGAACTTCTTGAACTTCTGGAATTGTTTGACCATCATGGCAAATTCCTCATCGTAGTTCTCCATTTTTGAGCTTGACGGCTGGCTGGAGGAAGGTGTGTCACAGTTTCTTGTGCATGTCCCTTCACTTGATGGAATTCTTGAAGTTGTCATCAATGCCATGGGGAAGGGAGTGATTTGTTCTTCCTTCTTCTTCTTCAGCTCGTGCTCATAGGTTCTGAATTCATCAAGGAGACCTTGAACAGTGTAGTTCTCCAGGTTTCTTCCTTCTTCCATGGCTGTGGCTTTGGTGTACGACTCCGTTGGGAGTGATCTCAGCAACCTTACATTCTTTTCTTTGGGAGAAAGAATGTGGTTAAGTGAAGCAAGATCATTCAATATTTTGTGGAATCTTTCATCCAACATATCAAATGATTCTCCGGGAAGCATTTTGAAGCTTTTAAACTTCTCAAGCAGGACTTCTATTTTTTTCTTTCTCAGGTCCTCTGATCCCTCACATAGCTTCCCAAGACCTTGCCAAATCTCCATAGCAGTTTTGAGATGCTTAATCTTGGAGAAGGTGATGGGATCAAGTGTCTTGAAGATGGCTGCTTTGGCGACGTTGTCCAGATTGTGCTTTTTGCAATCTCTATCATCCCATTTTTCTTTGGGCTTTGGAATGTACTGGACTACATCTGGAGCAGCTGGATTCTTCTCAGGGTTCTCCATTTGGATTTTCAAGGGTCCATCCTCAAGCACCATCCACATGCAATCATGTAGAGCGTAGAGATGTGCTTCCATCATGATCTTCCAATCATCATAACCTAGAACAGAAAACTTGGGCAAACCGTGATCCATATTGTTCACCATTATGATCGCTTCTTGTTAATCTAAAAGTAGATAGTGAGAAACAAGCTACGATACCAATTGGTGGTCCCAAAGTGGTGAGTTACAAAGCCTAGAGGGGGGGGGGTGAATAGACTTTGTTACAAATTTAAAAATTTTTTTTTAGTTTCTTTTGAAAACGTGAAAATGAGTGTTAATCTAGAGTTCTTTTGAACTTTAGATTATGTGCGGAAGTTGGTGGGTAGAGTGAGCAGTAATCAATATGGATGGGTTAGTTTTCTCAGTTAATATAATTTCAAGCAAGAATAAAGATAAAAGAGAGAGACACGCAAACTTTAACGAGGTTCGAAGGTGGGGTAATCCTTCTACGTCCTCAAAATCCACTGTGTAGTTGGTTGTTGAATAATGAACCAACAATTACACTTGTGTGAATTTCTGCACGGTATATCTTCGCAAGCCAATGTTGCTACTGCACTCGTGCTGGCTTTGTTGTTCCTTCGAAGGTCACGCTTCTTCAACAACGTAACTGCAAGGTCCGAACAATAGGACTTGCAAGATCAACTTGTAAGAAAGTTGACCTACCACTTTCAATCAATAAGTTTGATCAAAAGTTGTATCCTTCAACGTGGTGTGGTACTTGAGGCAAGGAAACCTTCAAATATTTACACTATAGCTTTTTGGAAGGAGGAGAAGTTTGCTTCTGGATAAGGAGTTTAGAAATCTCTCTTTATCAAGCTTTTTGAGCTAACTGTGAATGAGGTAGCCTCTTTGTGGTTGTTCTTCTTATCGTTGATGAGTTGTTGTATATTTTTCTCCAGTCTTCCAAGGATGCTTCTTATAGCTGGATTGGATAATCTATCCGTTGAATCAAAATAGACTATCCGTTGCATTTGCTGGCTTCAATTTTGAATGAAGATTGTGATTCGAAGATTCCTCATTGGAATGGGTGTTTGGACATACCCAAATGTTAAAAGAGGGATTCCTTTTTCCATAGAATCCGTCTTCTAGCTGTTGTTCAAGTATTCTGGACTGTAGAACTTTACTCTGTTTGTCTTCTAGTGCTTGTTTAGGAATTCTGGACAGGTTCTTCGATTTTTAGTGGTCCAGACTTTGTCTTCGAGTCATTTGTTCTTGAATCAGCATAATTATCTTCAATCTAGCCGTTGAAAATCAAGAGATTGATTTTTCCTTACCAACGAGTAGAATTTCTTCATTCAAGACTTAGATAATTTTCTAAGTCTTTTCTCACTTGTCCGCTTTTTGAGAAATCCGGTCTTCCTTGAGGCATGCGGTTCTTAGCTGACAAATCCGGAAGAGTCATACTCAGTCTTCCGGGTGAGAAAGAAATCTACGCTAGTCTTCCGACTTAGCCTTCAGCTTGTTGTAACGAGACGTCCGCTTCTCATGTAATATTCCAGATAGGAGGATTTTTGTCTGCTTTGAGAAATCCTTACTTGTCTCTGACATTTCCGATCAACATATCCAATTTCCAAAATTTCTGAATTTGATTAAGTCTTCAGGCATCAAACCGTTTAAAGAAATATCACAACTTTATTGGAAATCTCAAGAACTTGGTTTTAACAATATTTCTAAAAATTACATTGAATATCTGGGGAGACCTAAAGTCTCTATTACATTCCAAATATATCATCATCAAAATCTATGATATTTTTCCCAACAGCCAACATTATGGAACGGTTGGATAAGGCTCTCCCTGGTCCATCCAGTACCCGGGACGTCCCTGCCGGGCAACCCCGCCAGGTCCTGCGTACTGCGAGTTCTCCCATCCTCTAGGAGCTTCATGATCCGGAGGAGGTCGAGAGGGAGAGACAGGCCGTCGCTAGATGTCGGGCAGAGGAGTTTTCCCGGAATAGTAAGTTGAATGGAGACTGGGCCAAGGCTGCAAGCCAAGTCGTTGGCAATGGAAACGGAAACCCGCGGGGAACTGTCTTTGAAAGGATATCTCACCAGAAAGCTCACATTAGTGAGAGGCTAGGGAAGAATCCGGACAAGGCACCCCAGGGTTGGGTACGACCCCATGCCAGCCAGGTGGCATCTTCTAACCGCGAACCCCGGCAGCGAATCGGCCGTGGTGGGAGCCAAGCTCCGGTCCGGTCATTGGTGGTTCTGGATGAGGACGAAGTTCAAAGCGAAGTCAGGGTCCCAGCACCACAGCGCCTGGGGCCGCCGGTACCGGAAGCGGGCGAATTCCAGGATCTGAGGCAGCAGATCCAGGAGATGTAGAGGAAGATAAATAGGGGACGAGTATTCACTACTCGGACGAATACTCCCTTAGCCCCGGAGATCTTTGCGGAACCATATCTGCAGGGATTCAAGATGCCGTTCGTTAAGCGTTATGATGGGGAGTCAGATCCGCAGGGACACATAAATAGCTATGTCCAGGTGATGATTGCCGTTGACGCCAGCGATGCACTAATGTGCCGGTGCTTCCTACAGACAGTTGATAGCATGGTTGCAGATTGGGTCAACCACATTCCTGCTGGATCGATCCGGACATGGGATGAACTGGGATTGCGGTTCTTAGAGCATTTTGCTGGGAACTGCCGTCCCAAGAAGCATTTCACTCATATGGCTTCAGTGCGGCAGAAACACGGAGAATCCTTGAAGAATTTCCTTATCTGATGGAGAAAAGAGTCTAGGGAGGTTGAAGGAACCGACGACAAATCCAGGTTGGCCATGTTCACGGCGGCATTACAAGACGGACTCCTTCACACCGATCTTACAACTCATCCCCCGGATACCTTCGAAGAAGCAATGGTCCGGGCCGGGAGGTATGTGACCCTGGAGGAGAGAAAGGAGGAGAAGAAAAAGAAGACTCCTAAAGAAGAAGAGAAGGCGGGAAATAAGAAGCAGGGTTTCCCGGATGGCCCAAAGGGCACAATCCCTAGGACCTCGGAGAAGCACAAATCCGCCAATCCAGTCTTCACGTTGCCGGTGGCTGAGGTCATGGCCCATGCTGCACAGCAGGGACTCATGACTTATCCAACCTATTCTCAGAAGGTCTGCAATGTGGAGAACAGTGGAAAATGGTGTGCTTATCATCGCAAGAATGATCACAACACAGCGGATTGCTATACCCTGAAGAATGAGATGGCGAGGCTAATCCGCTGTGGCCATCTAAAGAAGTTTGTACAAGATGGTGACGCGGGAAATCCTGGGAACGCTCAGAATGGGAAGCATAGGGATAAGGATGTGTTAGAATAATATACCAACGCTAGAGGGGGGTGAATAGCGTTTGATCAAGAAATCGCAGGAATAAAAAATGAATAAACGAGAAGTAAAAAGAAGAGTAAGAGGCACACCGATTTTACCCTGGTTCACCACAACTTGTGGCTAATCCAGCCTCCCGAGAGACTCTCTCGAGCTACACTACTATCTCGTTAAGCTTAACGGTTCTTAACAAACCCGTACAACTTGAGAGTTCGAGTCACACGAACCTCAACAAACCTTCGAAGGAAACAACCCTTCCTTCGAACAACAAGAGAGAAACTTTCTCTTGTCAAGAATCTAAAAACACTAAAAACTCTCGAGAACAATACTCTCTTTTAGAGTGGATAATGAGTAACTAAGAACGCTCAAGAATGCAACACAAGCTTCACAAAAATGGCTCTCGAAAAGCTATGAATAAAGGATGAATGATTTGCAATGAAAGAGTAGGAGTTGTGAAGTAATGTGATGTGTAAAACAGACCCAAACACCCCATTTTATAATAGAAAAATATGTTAGACGCCTCGCACACCTCTAGAGGGGGGGTGAATAGAGGTGTTGCCCAAAAGACCAGTTTTTTTGCGCGGAAACGTTCTTCACGAATATTCAATAAAATCAATGCACCATAAACAAAGTAAAGTGAAGGATAAGAGCAATGCACACACGATATATACTGGTTCGTCCTAAATGCATACATCCAGTCCCCGAAGCAATCGTGCCCAGGCCTTCACTAACCCGTCAAACTTAACGGAGTTTGACAATCCGAATACAACTCGAGAACTTGATTTCACAAGCCTCTTATCTTACCACCGAAGTTTTGATTTCACAAAACTCAGGATTTCTTCCACCTAACGTTTGATTTCACAAACCGTTAGGATTTCTACCACTTGGTGTAATCCCAACACCAAGAATACAAATCCCTTACAATAAAGTAAGAAAAC